TCTCTCACCTCTGTGTTTCAGTGAAGAATTATACAGCACTAAACATTGCCCTAAATCTGAGATGTGCTGTAACAACAGAGACAGGTCATCCTCCTGCGGCTGACTCAAATTACCAAGGAAGACAAAAGGACTGATAGCAGAGGCATCCAGGATTGTGAACAGACCTCCAAAACTTGTTTGTTTGATAAAACGGTCTCACAACTTCCTTATTATTCCAAAGGGGCTAGCAGCAGCTGCCCAATGGCTCTTTTATCTCTAAAGTACAATTCAAGCCTCTTATAATTGGCCTGGCACAAACTGCAGACTGTGCTTGGACACAGAAGTAGCACATGGCTACATTTTGAATTACATCGATATAAAAGAACATAGCTAGAGTGGAATATTTTAGAGTCAAGTCGTTGTTCAGGGAAACACACCTGGCAAGCAGGCCAAAAGTTCACATTTCAGCTGAATAAGGGTTTAAGTTTTTATAGATCTCACCCTCAAGAGCTACTAGTATTTAGTCAGACTTCCTCTTCTTGGCCATATCAAGCAATTCTCTTGATGAAGAATGTTCTTTGCTGTCATCAAAGTTCAAAAGAAATGGTGTGGCTGGAAGCTCATGAACTTTAACACAACTGAAAAGTCCTTTAGCAACTGCTTTGGGAGAGGTTAGGTGGAGAGATACTGTTAGCTGTCATTCTCAGCCTTTGCTCTACTCAGAATACAGGCTACATGTCATTAACAGTATCAAAATGCTTACCAACACAAGACAATATACTCCATGTTATGGTATCCCTCAAATCAATCTGGTAACAGAAGCTAGCTGCAGCTCATTTACCAAATAGTAAATCATAGTCTCACAGTAGAGCTCCAATACCTGCACAGGGCTGTTATCAGTGCCTGGATGAAATTTGTGGTGCTGCTGTATGTACAGCTCTAAATTACCTCAGACTTGCCTATCTAAGAGACCACATGTCTCCCTGCGCCATGCTACCACAGCTGCTGTCAGCAGAAAGACTCATGCCAGACACATTTGATATTAAAGAAGGGGGAAAAAAAGTCAGTTGTCAGCAAGACTGACTCACTGGGGGACGGGCTGCTTTGCAATTTACTCCCACCTTTGGTTTGAAATAGCTACAGTCTATTGACCCTTAAACCGGGCTAAAAGGTATGCTGCTTTCTCAGTAACACAATCAAGAGGGATATTTCTAGACACATCTGAAAAACACGCTTGTTTTCTAACTCATGATTATTTTTCTTTTATTAGGATTATGAAGAGTAACCTGAGGTCTTTCTCTTTTAAGAAACCACCCTTTAATCCAAGAACAGGCACATTTTCAGATAGCATTATAAGAATAGCACAGTAGAGGTTACTCTGACTGCTCTTCTTTATCTGCAAAAGAGCTGCCACCTATCTTGTTACCAAGCGCTGGCCTTTCTCCAGTTCAGTTTGGTAAAGGATACAGGTAGCACAGTATGCACATATATGTTAGTTTGATGAGGCCTCTGAGCAAGACCAAAAGATGTCTGCAGGTAGCCTCAACAGGTAGACAGCTATTACACTTTGAAAATCAACTTTTTGTGCTGCAATTTACCCATCGCTAATTGGTTCCGTGAATTAGTGCTAGGATACCAGCCTTAATGGTAAATATTAAAAACAGACAAAGCTGTTTCACAGAAGGGGAACAGCCTTTTCTGAAGCTGCATATCACCTAACTGTGTTTGAATTTGAGGTTAGGTCTATTTTGCAGGGAAAATAACGAATGCCAATTCCTCAATAATGCACTCACATTCTATCTGTGTGGTTCACAGCTGCATATGCATATCTGAGTGAGATTGCTTCAGTTTTCCAAACTTTGCAAATTATAAAAAAATGCTGGTTTTGGGAAGCAGAAAATTTCTTGAGGAAATTTCTCAAAATACAGCTTTCTAGTAATAAAAGTAAATCCACTTTTCTTATATGGAAACCAGAAATACAGTAAACACAACTATATTTGTGAGTGGCTTGTTTAGTTACCACCTAGAGGAATGAGTGCTCATGCATTTGTATCATGATGGTTAGCATTTCAAAACTGGGTTTTTTCCATCACTCATCATCAAATCAATTGTCTTCACAGCTGCTTGTAGCTCATATTTCCCCAAAGGATCATACTGTTCGTCCATTTTCAAACTCACTGCCTGACCTTTTCCCTCAAGGCCTTTCACAATTCACTTTAATCAATCACATCTTATTGATTGTTAGCACTTGCTCATTCCCCAGCTATGTTTGCTTTACTGGATATAGTTTGTATTTAATGTCCTGTCATACACTTGCTGCTCTTTCCACCCTTGTTTCTTTAGTCTTCTCATTTAGGTTTCTTATTTAGCTTTATACTTCTGATCTCTTCAACTTTCATTCAAGTTCAAGTCTAAATTCCATCTTCTCTTAGCTTATCCCTTCTTTTGTATAACATACTCATACTCAAAATAAACTTCATCTTTCAGCATGCCATTCTCCACAGAACAGAAAGTGCTTCTGTAAATTTATGCAGTTCTAGCAAAAATCCTGTCTTGGTTTATGACTTCTGACAGTTCTGTGTCATACATACAATTTATCTCTACATACAATTCCTTCTTATTAGAAAGAAGCAAAGACAAGAAAGAGTTCCTGGAAACATTTTTTTCACAATTCATCCAAATCCTATCTGGTTACCTGATGATTCACCTACTTTCTGCGGGGCAAGAACACTGGCTTATTTGCAGCTGCCACTTTGACCTTCTTGGCTTTGTAAAGACTGACATGCTGAACCTTGGAAACTGCAATTATTTCATTTCTTGGGCCTCTCAGCAATAACTAGGCAGCACTAACTCACAGAGGCTACATGTAAGCAGTACAATCAAGATTACTGCCAGAAACTGAATGAGAACTGTGGTCCACACAACTTCAGCAAAGATTTCAGGTGACATTTTTGCTTTTAATGCAAGACATTCTTATCCAAAAAAATCTTCAATTTGCTTTATTACAACATCAACTATTTAGCTGATGGGAAACTTGGACTGCTCTTGAAGTGCTCATATAGAAGCAAAAAAGGATTCATATAAAAGGAGTCAGGGTTTAAAGCAGGAGTACCTTGCAGGAATATCTCCCCAGTCCTTTCTTTTCTTAAGACCCTGTTTTCTGTGACCATTTCCTCTTTTACTGTCTCAGTTTTTTGGACATCACAATCATGAATCAGAGGAACAGTGATGCCACCCTACTGAGCACCTGGATGATTAGTCAGTAATGACAAAAAGCCTTCTTTATAGAATCATATAATGGTTTGTGTTGGAAGGGACCTTAAAGATCATTTACTTCCAACCCCCCTGCCATGGTTTCTCAAAGCCCCATCCAGCCTGACCTTGAACACTTCCAAGGATGGGACTGTCACAGCTTCTCTGGGCAACCTGTTCCAGTGTCCCACCACCCTTACAGAAAAGAATTTATTTCTAATGTCTGACCTGAATCTCCCCTCTGTGAGTTTAAAGCCATTCCCCCTTGTCCTATCACTGCATGCCCTTGTAAAAAGTCCCTCTCCAGATTTCCCGTAGGCCCTGCTTAGGTTCTGAAAGACTGTTGTAAGGTGAACCTTCTCTTCTCCAGGCTGAACAAGCCCAACTCTCTCAGCCTGTCTTCACAGGAGAGGTGCTCCAGCCCTCTGAGCATTTTCGTGGCCCTCCTCTGTACTCATTTGAGCAGTTAAACCAACAAACTTCTTCAATGCACTGGCCCATGGTACATTCAACACATGAATGAAAGAGACATCCTTAGAAACTCTGACAATAGATCTGTAGTATCAAAACAGTGGAGCTTTACAGCAGCTTTCTGCTTGAGTACACCCAAGATGCCCAGAGAGTCACCAACAGCCCCTGTCAGAAAGGAGGGAAGACTAACAGAAGAAGATATAATAGAGAAGTGGTTGGTGATATATACCCCCTTCCACACTATACACCTTTCAAAGAGGTATATTTCTAGCTAGTTTTGGTCTGGACCTGTAGAGTGCACACATTTTAGTGTCTGAAGTGTACCCACTGAGCTCCCTGAATGCACTTTTCCTTTTAGTTTTACCTGAAAGGAATACAATCAACATGCTCCAAGATCAATCTGGGAACCAAAGCTAAGAGGGAATGACAAGCATTTAAAGGCACACAGGTTGATGTGTGTTTCTTGAAATTAACTGAATAAACTAAAATCATAAACTCCATACATCACTGACATGTACGTTGAATTTGTGCCAGTGAGGAAGAGCTAGTGAGCTTGCAGTATCCTTCTGCCCTTAAGCCTTGCGAGCAGAACAGACACACAAAGCCAGCAACCTCAGAGTCCAGCATCACAGAACTGCTATGTCTGAAATTCCAGAATGACTTACACATTCTTCTCCATCCATCAGCAAGCATGTACTGTTAGCCAGTCACTTCACAACAGTGTCAGACCAGAAATAAAATTGTTTAAGTAAGAACTGGGGATAGCAAACATGTCATGTGGCTGTTTACTAAAAGTAAGTGGATATTTTGCCAGCCTGTTTGCCCTAGTAATTGGTCTTTCACAAATATTAATAAACCAGAATGGAAAATGTCAACAAGTGCTGGAGTCCTGGTGCAGGGCTTCTCCCAATCACTGGCTGCCAATGAATGACGCTGTAAGTATATGAGTGGGACTGGTCTATCTGAAATTTCAAATCAGCTGTCTTTACTACAAGCAAAACTCATGCTGGGAACAGAAAAAGAAAGCTCTTTATATCTTCCTTTTTCCCTACTCTGAAATTAAAGGAAAAAGGAAACGTTCCTGTTGAATCTCTTCCCCTTTTTCACACTCCTCACAAGAATGTGTGGGTATAGGTATGTGGGTGAATGTTTCAGATAAGGCATTTTCTCTATGCAACCATACGCCATGGTGAGATTAGTTTATTGCCCTTCATATCTGACAAGGTTTCAGCAAATTAAATTTATTTTCTTACGAGTACTGGTTTTATTTGAGTAAATGCAAGGGGAATTCAACTCACCGTCTGCAAGAAGGACTTCATAGATGTCAGACAAAGAGTCTCCAGGATTTTCATTCTGTGGCTTACCTAGGAAAAAAGAGTAATTTTTTAATGGTATATACTTGGAAATATCTTTAACTGGTCATCAATTCTGATGACAGTGACCAGTGCTATCATGCTTGACTGTTTCACAGAATGTTTAATTTGCTCTAAGAAGCACCTTAGCATTAGAAATCAAGCTGGGGGCAGGGGGAGAGAGAGAAGAAAAAATGTCAAAATCAAACAAAGTTTGGAAAACAAATGAACAGACATTGTAAAACCTCCGAAATAAACAAGTACTATGACAATGCTTTCCACTTTCTTTTTTTAATGAAATTCTGTATGCTGTGCTAAATGTAAGACGAAGCTATTTTAAAGTTACAGTTTTGCAGATAGGAAACAAAAAAAAAAAAAAAAGAAAAAGGAAAAAGGGCTAGTGAAGAGGAACAAGCCAAGAGAGCTCTTTAGATGGAATTGTACTTATCCCTTTTTAGTAAACATCCTCATGACTAGTCTTTTCTATTCACTACAGTAGGTAAGAAGTCTGAACTTCTTAGAAGTGTCCCTGAAAGTCAATACAGCAAACAACGGGATAGGAGCTGAGCAAAAGGCATGGGAATGGAATAATATCCAGAAAAATGGATGCAGGCATTGGGGTCTGGATTATAAGACAAGTATGCAGGGTGGTGTTTTTGATAATACAATAAATTTGCCTAAAGAATTTCCCGTACCAGGTCAAAAAAAGCAATGGCCACATTATGTAAAGTACTGGTCAGATATTAGAAGACTCTGTCAGTTACAATTTGTTGAAATTATTTTGATGGCTTAGTAACTGTCATGAGACTTTTTGCCATGTTATGCAATACCTGCCTATGTCACTCATTATGCTAGATCAAATTATCACCTGTTTTTTGCACATCTGCGGTAACACTGACATAAAAGGCCTGCTTGAGCTCCATGTTGTGAGATTCAGCTAACTCAACAAGCATGCTGTTGTACAATATTTGTGGGATCCTGATTATGTATATTGCTGGGTGCTCCAGAAGTGAATAACCAATCTTACTACAAGGGATCAAGACTATAAAGAGTCACTAGGTGAAGACACCAAGGCTAGGATGAGAAGAATCACCTGGCAAAGTGATTGCTTTACAATGGCTTTATTAAGGTTGCATAAAATCACTCAAACCCAGTCCTTCTCTGTACCATATTATTGACTATTCCTTTCACCTTTCTTTTAAACTGCTCTGTACTGTGGGCAGTACACAAGGTAGACCTACTCTGGCACGGACTTGTGGTGGTGCTTACCGTATTCTGATTCATTTACGCTTGTAACAGGAGTCCAGTGAATGAGGATTCCAGTGAGATAAAGCACAGTGATATTAGCTGATTCCTGCTCTAAAGAATTTAGATAATTTCAGGTTGTCATCCTGAAGTTTTGAGACTAAAAGCTAGAGGGCTTTTAAAATATGCTTTTCAGAAGTGCTCATTAGTTCTGTATTGCATTTTCTGTGAAAGACCCTACAGCTGACCTGTAGACATTTGAGCAGCCACATACGCATCTGAAATTAAAGCAAGTGGGCATAAAAAATATACTAGGAAGTGTTAGGAAAAGTAATTTTTTAAAGTGGTATCAGAAGTAGAAGAAATGCTTCACCCTAACCTTTCTAAATACTAGTACATAAAATGATGACAAAATAAAATACTGTTTGAACAGCACTCAGTACAGAAAAGAGTTCTACAGGAAAGCACATTAGGAAATTAATAATTCTGTTTTCTCAACAGGATTTGAATAGCATTCAATACATAAATAATGCAACCGCAAACTCAAACACAAAACAAAGTATCAAATAACTGCTAATTAACTGAGCACTACTGCACTACTTATCCTGTGTACTAATGAGGACAGGTTCTTGGGAAAGGGGTAAGAATGCACTTACATAATGAAGGGAATCAATGTATGAACAGGGGCCCTAAATAAAGTTTAACAGCCTACTTTGTACCTGTAACTCTGAGTTTTGAACACTTTGAAGTAACTTTTTCTGGACCGAGTTCTGTCCTGATAGCCATTTAAGTAAGGACAGAGATACCCCACCAAGAGCAAAATGTGATGCTTTACAAAAAATAAAATAATAAAATAATAATAATAATAATAATAATAATAAAATTGTTCTTTTGCTATCTCAATTTCATGTTGGGTTTTTGGTTTTTGTGGTTTGGTTTTTTTTTAGTATGAACTTAAATTGGTGCTACACTTCCCTTTGTCAGGGATAGGTGTTAAAATATATTTTGGTCTGGAAAACAACACAACCCTTATCTTATTATATTTCCAGGAAGCTAGCACTAACTCAACAGAAATACATTGTGGTAAAATCACAAATAGCAATTTTGTTAATTACAACATTTGTGTGCCAAAAAAATATACAAGGAATGCATTTCCAGAGGACTTCCCTAGACACCTTCCAATAATAACTTACGAGTAACTGTGACAAGTAATCACAGTGCAAAACCCAATGGAAGTCAGTAATACATTATATGAAAGACATGCAAGACTACAGATTCACACAGCCATTTTACAGTTCTAGCTTCAAAATACCTGCTGGAAATCTTAATTTATTTGTAAGCTTTAGAAATCGCCTCACAACTGCAGCTAAATACTGACTGATGACTGTTGTGCCATGAACAAGACATAAATTTGGATGGTGTCCATTTGCAACCTTGAAAGAACAGACTAATGATGATAAACCCATTCATTTTAAAAACAAAATAATTGTAAGCTAAATAAACAGTAAGATCACAGTACATTCATTTAAATTAGTACATGCTGTTGCAGTAATTTTTAAGTTCTAGTAATTTGACTTTCATTATTAATAAAACTTTTTATGATCTTGTCCTAAACGCTGCTAGAAAATATTCACTTTAACATGTCAGTGCATTCATTTTCCCAGGGTTTTTTTTAAGCAGTTTTCATCTAATTAATGTCAAAAATAAGAGATGAAAACATCACATACATGATGCATTCGAGGGTACAGGTCACCGCCAGCTAGACACATTGAAACATGAGTTGTTAAAAAACCTGATTACATAATGAGTAAAGTCATCTCTGCATTTTGCAGAAATAAGAGAAGAAGAAGAATCCAAACAGTTTAAGCAGCAGGGAATGACAGTCTCAACATCCTATCTATGGTTGCCACCTCCAGGCTGCCACTTCAGTTTCTCTTCTGGTTTGAAGCCAGATCATGTGTCAGATGAAACAAGTTAGTGACACTAACCACAGTTTTTTGTTGACAGTCATCCCTGTTACAAATCCACATCATGGCATTGGTATCCCAGCAATCATTCTATGTGGATATTGAGAAACACAACATCTCAGATTTCTTAATCCAGTAATCTTAGCAGAAGTCCCTGCAGAGGACTCATTGACATAGCAAAACAAAGTGAGAACTACACTGTGGCACACTTCAGCTATAGATTCATATAGACTATTTTGTTTTTCATAAAAAAACTTAAATGACATTTGAGGTGCTCCTCTATAAATTGATGGCCTCATGGCCTGAAAAACACACCCACAGAGCGAGCGACTTCTGAATCCAGTGACCTGCACAGTGGAAATCAGCCCATATTTGAAGGGGGCTGAAGACTTGCTTACATTAAGCCCTATTTTAAACTCCCAGCCTGTTCTACATTTGCTCATTAGAGACAAACACTGAGTGCTACTGTCTCATTACTCCACATCTGTATCTTACTAGTAGTTGCAAAAGCAGTTTTCTTTCCTTGGTGATTTCTCTCCTTGGTGATTAAAACTGTGCAGGTACACTGAATGCTTTTTAGGTAACAACCAGAAATTAATGGCACACTGCTGTCTCAGGTAAGAGTTACATACTCATTCTGAGAATCTTTCCTGAGCTGACAAAGACTGTGGATACAGTTTTCTAGTAGGGTTATGTTACTTTAAGTACCTCATCATGCTTTTTAGTAGAATAGCAGATAATGAATGGAAACATGCAGGTTTCTTCAGCAGTTCTCAACTATCAAATTTTATAGAAGTAGATTCCCTTTGTATTTTGGAAAAATAAAACAAAAACAAACAAACAAAAAAAAAAAAAACACCAAAAAAACAAGAAGGATACCACTGCTTAGAGAAAAGACCATAAGTGGAAATGACAAGAGTTGTTCTATTAAACTGTAAACTATGAAACCTGATAAAACAGCAAGCAGTCTAATGGATACTTATGACTCCTGAGCTGTACTGAGACATCCCATCAGAAAGTCTCATAAAAGTGTCAGCACACTGTAGAAACAGTGTCGTGGAAAACTATTTGTATTAGGTAAGACCTGTTCTTTTTTCTGCATCATCAGTACTGAAGCAAAAATAACTACAGGAGGAATTCAGTTCATTTGAAGTAACTACCTCCAGTTGCAAATATCTATCTCCAAAAGCAGAAATGCAAGGGACAAGAGATAATCACTGAAAACAATTAAAAGCAAGAGAAGATGATGATCCATATGAAGAGAAATGGGAAATCTTGTGAGTGCATAGGCCTGAAGAAAGACATAAAAAAATTGCTCCACAGGAAAAATAATCTAAGTATAGTTAATAGCCCATTAGCAAGCCATTTTAAATAAAAAGGAAAAATCTTTTTCCCAGATGCATAATCTGTCAAGGTCCCTGCCACAGATATCACAAACATAAGGAACTTCACAGGATTCTACAAGAGTATCAAATGCAGACACTGCAAGCAGTCACCATGTAAGCAAAGGTAAATACTGGCAAGACATGCACACCTTCATTCCTCAGAGCTTAAACCAACACCCAGGTCACAGCAAATCTCAGACCTGGAGCACTTCCACTGTGCAACACAGAGCAATGAGTGCAGAGGTCTCCTAGCAAGCACTGACCTGAACTGGCTTGCCTGAAGGCCAGGGCACATCAGCACAGAAGAAACTGGGCCAGGACAGTTCTCAGCTACATGTACAGAGGAGGGCTTATACCCTGAAGCACCGTGCAGCAGCACTACTCCCAGTTCCAGATCTAGTTCATATAACTGAATTTGTCTGATTGCAGCCACAGTCTATGCATTCCTGGTAAAGATGTACACACTGAGACTGAGGCCCTCAACAGCTAGTGATTAATTCAGCTTTGTACCTTTCCCTGAAGTTGCTATTGACCACTGCCAAAGACAAGATCATTTGAGCACCTCTTTGTCACCTGATGTTACAAGGTAAGTAAAATCCCAAGGGCATGTGCAATAGGTATTTTTGTGAATGCACAGACCTAAGGAAAGAACCATCATCTGTCTTCTAGGAAACTGTCTTTGCAGAAAAGTTTGCAATTTCCTGTGCATGAGTCTCTGGGCTCAGCACCTTCCTATACAAACACACACACATACACACACACTTAGTATAGACCCACTGTTTTCATTCCACTAAAAGGCTGCCAAGAAACTTCAGTCTGAAGCTACATATGGACACAGTCAGAAACTGCAAACATTACCTCCTGAAACCAAACTAGGCAACTGTAATTAGCCCCGAAACTTAAAGTCTGAGACATGCTCAGAAAAAGATATGAGGAAAAGGTTAGTAAATACTGAACAGCAAGAAATGTTAGAAAAGGAGATTGTTGGGAAGGAGTGTAAAACTTAGTTTTGAACACACTGATCTGATACAGCCAGACTGAAGATAGGCATGTTCTCAGCAGCTTTGAAAGCCTTATAGCATCCTTAAGGCTACTCAGCCACAAGACAGCAGGAGCATCCAGCTACATCCAGTTACCCTGACTCATCTGGGGTCTCTCTACCCCTGTATTCAAAAGAATATTCTTGGTTGTTCATCTGCATCCAAAACCAGGTTAATTTCTGATTAAAACTCCTGAACTGCAGGATGTCTCTCAAGCACAAGCTCTTCTGCCAGTAAAACTAGCACCTTGCAAGAAAACTGCAACAAAGACAGAAGCACAATGTTCTACTTAGTAGATAAAATAATGACATAACTGCAAGAGCTGAGAGGAGGTAAGAGACGTAAAAACTGCAAAGAAACAGTAATAAATATGCCTTGAAAGCAAAACACACAACCACCTAACCGACACCAGTACACAACTTACATCACCTTTTCAAAGTGGCCCATGTATCTCTCTTTCTAAAGCTACTTCTTGGCATCATGTGTGCAGCCTAGCAAAGTTGAAGTTCGGGTTAAACTAAAGATGTGCAGAGACTTTGCTATTTCAGTACCTCGCACTCTCAAAAGAGGAGTTTTTCTTACATTCAAGGAAGTGCTAAGTTTTACAATAATGTTTTTTTTGTAGTTTCTATGAATGTGCAAACAGATACAAACTGGATAGTTGCAGTCCTTCCAGTACAGACTTACTACTTGGGTTGGTAAACAGAGAAGGGAACTTTTGCCCTTACAGCTTTTTGTGTCACACAGCAAATGATGCCAGCCATGAAAGCCTGGGTCTTACTCAGTAGTTATTTTTCACAGTCAGATTTATCTCAGGAGATATATACACTGTCCCATTAAGCCATTTCACAAGAGATGAAACATAAAATAATAGTTTTGTACAGTTTCTGAGATTTGTAAACTCAGGAAACAGAAACAAGTGTATGTCAGCTCTTCAGTCCCTGCCCATGGCAGGGGTGTTGGAACTAGATCTTAACAGGATCTTAAGGTCCTTTCCAACCCTAACTATTCTATGATTCTATGATGCAGTCCTACCATGAAGTAAAGGTGGAAGGTTTACATGTGCCAGTGGCAGCTTTTAGACTTTCCAAAGCTGCTTCCCTGTGAAAATGAAGCCTGATTAAGAGTACAACAGTTTTTATCACACTTCAATGACAAATGTATCACCAAACTCAAACCGCTGGATCAAGCTGAAGAGATAGAATTTCTCCAGAAAATCACATTTTTCACTTGAAAATGATTAATACAGCTATGAAAACTCTTCTAATAATCATACAAAGTTATTTTTATTTTTAGATACACAGTGATTTATTTTTAGACTACCTGGTTGAATAATTCCAGTAACGACAGACAAATACTCCTCAGGTTCCTGATCAGTGGAAATCTCTTTGCTGCCTCTATCGAAGGTCAGTGTCTCATAAAGTATCTCTGAATTCTCCACTCCACAAAGTAGGATCACCACATTATTTGGAGGTCTTAGAACTCGCTCCAGAAAGTAACTTCTCATTTGATTCAGGCAGTTAAGAAGTCCACATGATAAGGAGTTTACATTTATAAGATGGTAAAGAGAATAGCTCCTGCTGCTTGAAAGACGAAGTCTCTATGTTGTAGAGTAAGATTCCTTTGTTCACTATGTGTCCAAAAAGTGATTTTAAATACAGAGCCCACTCTTCTGCTTCTTGTTCATATATCATGAGAATATCCTCTGTATTTTCTAGAGACAAGAAAATATATAAAAAATAAATACATTTTGAATCCATTATAAATATCAGAAGACATATTAGTTCCCCCCCCCCCCGAAAAAAAACCTGGAGGACAGGTCATTGCCTTGAAATGACAACCATCTGCTTATTTCTAGAGAAAGGCAGCCAGACCATCCACAGAAATGCTGGTAAAAAGAGCTCAGAATATTTTATGATTAGAATAGGATTCAACCAGTATTCAATTAGTATTTCAGAACAAATAATGAAATTGCAGTGCAGAAAGTAGAGCACATTCACACATTCTGCTCTCTCTTAGAATCTTGACAAATAGGTGCTATTAAAAATGCAACCGTTCACTTACAATGGCAGTAGTAAAGAATATATACTTGAACACTGGACATGGTCTGACTTTATTAGAAACAGATTGGTATGTTTAGGATATTTTGGCAGCATGGTATTAGGATAGTTGTTAGTGATCTTTCTTGACTGTCCTTATTCTAACAAGACACTTAAAGACCTGACAAAAATCTAGAATGACCTTTTTGTAGTTCTGCCTCTCTAAGACGCTAGTAAGATGACTAATACTCTTCCACAGTGTTACGAGGGTGACAGTATGAAACAGAAACAGTAGGCACAATCTAAAACACAAGAGGGTCCCTCTGAGCATCAGTAACACATTTTTCACTGTGAGCACTAGCACAGGCTGCCCAGGGAGATTGTGGAATTTCCCTTACTAAAAATATTCAAAAAATGCCTGGACATGGATCTGGCTCTAGGTGGCCCTGCTTGAGCAGAGCAGTTGTACAAGATGGCCTCCAGATGTCCCTTCCAACCTCAACCATTTTGTGATTCTGAGAAACCACAAAAACCTGTGATTTGCTGATCAACATAATATACATTAAAATGCCATGGTAACTTAAGACCCTGAAGTAGTTCACAATCACAGCCCTGTAGAGCAACAGTTAAGAGACTCGGGAATAGATACAGCTGCTGCACTTTACCTCCACTGAACTTCACTACGTCTCCCAGGCTCCTGATGGGTCAGGCAACCTGACTGACATTTGTCTGCAGTGCAACACAGCTTTGTTTCTTGGAAACATAGTGCAGATGTAGCTAAGGAGAATTTAAACAAAACAAAACAACAAACACAACAAAAACCTCAACTTGTCAAGGATCCATGCAAATGCTTGTACAAAAGGAGAAACTGAACCTAGATACTGAGTCCAGGATTACAGCGCTAGTTACGGACTCCCCTTCTTTTTAGAAGAAATTATTTCTAAATTCTTTTCATTCATTTTTTACTCAGGAGATATTTCTAATAAAATACCCAGCTGAAGGTTGACTGAAATTTGTAGAATAGGGGTACGACAGCTTGGTTGCTTGAGTTCATTATATGCCTATAAAGTGCTTGGTGCTTGGAGGACAGCTGCCATCTTTTAAAGATTTGTGAAGAATACTGAAGTCTTTAAAAAAAGTTTTCTGTCATAGGAAATCATACAGGGACATGCTCAGTATGGTAGTGGGTGATGATATTTCAAGATAATCGATATATGACCCTGACCAATATATTAGATCAGGGTAATATTTGTGAAAATGTGTTTGGAAAGGTGACTGCTACATTCTCTATGGTAAAAACATTCTCAGAAATACCCATTTCTGCCGAAATGCTGGAGTTTAATCATAAAGAGAAATAGTAGTGTATTTCTCATTTAACCCAGAGCAAATTTATGTTTTATGACACTAAGATGAGAAACGCACTTGCTAAAATGTCGGTTTTGGAATCTCATTTAATTTTCTATAACTCTCACACACAAAAAAAGTAGAAATAAAAAGCTATGGAGCTTACTGCACAGTTTCAAAAGAAGAAATTATATTAATGGAGCTGTAAGTTCAGAAGCTTTTTCAGTCTGACCACAACATTTCGTATCATAGGAAATGGCATCACCAAGCACCGTCTACTTTCACCCCTATTTACTAAAAGCATTGTGGATTTAAAGAGTATGCTCGATCCATGAAGAAGACTTCAGAATTCATTTTGAACATGCTTACTTTCAACTTCCAGCCACAGAATGTAGTTTTATCTATTTCTACAAGCTGAAAGAAGTATCTGCTCTCAGAATTCTGTCCTCTAAGGTCTTCAGACTCTTATGAAGTGACTCTTAGCCTTGCCTTTGTTACAGTTTGCAATCTGGATTACTTTGCCCACTACAAGAGAGGCTTTGTAGGACTCCTACAATTCTTTCTGCACTTCTGCAAACTTTCTCACCTTTTCAAAATACTTTTGAGGAACACCAAATTGTATACATGGCACAAGTTCCTTGACACAGTGTATAGGAAGAATAATCTCACTTGAGATTACCTCAGATAAGCACAGAAAAGTCACATTCAGTCTCTAAGTTAAAGGTCTCATTTTAAATTCATGTTCAGCCACATTTCCTTCTACTATGATGTATTTGGGTAATGACACAGCTATGTAGAATTGGAGGGAGGGGTAAAAACACATGTTTAAATTAAATGGTAAAAATATTTTTTTATAGCTTCAGAGAATCTTGATGTCCTGACCATGCAGAAGATCTGGCGGTGTCTTCCATGGCACCCACTTGGCCAAGTCTAAGCTTCTTCTCCCTGTAGAAGGAGAGATCTGGTAAAGAATGGTGCACTACTGCACCTCATCCCTGTGCAGACTGGAAGCATCCAAAATGCATTTCCATACCCCAGAGCAGAAAAGAACTGCTGGACTCAATCATTCAGGCACAGCTGAAGAGTTCCCTGTGGGCATGGAGGATTTAGTGGGGCTTTTTTGTATGCTTAAAGAGCTGACTTTATACAATAATCATAATAAAAATATATGTAAGGTATGAAGTTCACATCTGTGGAAATGGACAGCACAAGGCTTGAGTACTCAAGAAATTCTAAAGATGAAAGTGAGAAAGTTGCACTGAAATGTTAAAGGATGATGAAGTAATTCTATTTCCATATGGTATATATGCACCTAAGTCCAGAGCTTTGATCTTGGCTAAGTGTGAATGAGAAAGGGGTTTTAAGATGTTTATTGAAGGTTTGACTGCATTTCTTTTTAACTATATTGGTTTTTATATATGAGAAAAAGCTTTACTTGTACAAGAAAAGAGAGTGAAATATATCTAACACCACACTTGATGGAAGAAAGGCTCTGCAAACATTCATCTCATAAAACTTTAATATGGCTGCCATATTCAGTTTGTCTTTTCTATCTGTATACAGAGGGAAGAGTCACACTGTTGAGGAGAGACTCATACAAGCAAGGTATTTCGTGCTGCAGTTTGGCGCAATGTTTATCAGTTTAAAGAAAGCAGCTAGTGCTATCAAGTTACCTGTAGGAGACCTAACGTGGCTTTGTTTTGAATTATATGCTTGTATTTTTTTCTGTCACTGATATACCTTCTTGATTTTTAACTTTGATATTAAGCAGGAATGCAAGACCTACAACTTATGTCACCAAAACTGTATTAAATTGTGAAATACCACTATTTTGAAATGCTTTCCTGACTTTAAAGTTTACCCTAAGAATAGTTATGGAGTCCTCTATCTAAAATCTACTGCGTGTGTCTTGAGCTTTTTCCTGCTACACAATGTTTTGACTTCAGAAATTTTACTAAGATATAGATGCTTGAATGCAGCTTACTTGAATATTAAAGCCCAGCCAAGACTCTGTCTTCAAAACAGTACCATTTTTACCTGAACAACAAAGGCTGAAGTCTGGCTTTAATGCAACACTACCCAATATTGAATATACAGTAACAATGCTTAACTTTTCAACTAGAGTTTTCCCCCTTCATGATTTTAATCTCTCACTGTTGTTTGTTGGTTTTTTTTTAAGTTATGGCATTTGGAGTATAACGTAGATTGAGATGAATTTTGTTCCCTTGAAAGCTAAAGTTTCTATTAGAAACTATCATATCCTGACAACATTAAGCCATGCTTCAACTACTCCTACTTAGAAACTGACTCAAAGGTAGAAATAAAAAGTATTATTAGTTTAGCTATGAGAAACAGGAAGATAATTTATGCGGTCATCCATAACCTGAAAGGGTTATTTTGACAAGCAAGTATATTCTCTAGTTACTGGTGTGTACACGGCTGCCACCAAAAAACACACTGCATGAAACATGCCATCTGAAGTCTTCCTTGAAAAGACCTGATGAATCTTATGAGAATCAAATGAGACAAAAACATCTTTGTATGCTAATAGGACAAGGACAAAGGGTAATGGGTTAAAACTTAAACAGGGGAAGTTTAGATTGTATATAAGGAGGAAATTCTTTCCTGTTAGGGTGGTGAGGCACTGGAATGGGTTGCCCAGGGAGGTTGTGAATGCTCCATCCCTGGCAGTGTTCAAGGCCAGGTTGGACGAGGCCTTGGGTGACATGATTTAGTATGAGGTGTCCCTGCCCATGACAGGGGGGTTGGAACTTGATGATCTTAAGGTCCTTTCCAACCCTAACTATTCTATGATTCAATGATCAAGCAGGAATCAAGAACTTGCATACACAAGACAAAAGAACATCTTTTTATGGAAACAAAAGATACAGTATGGAGGGGAAAAGAAAAAAGTAAGTATATTAGAAAGTGAAAGAACTCAAGAACTCTGTAATACACTAAACACATCAGGAAGGCAAAGGAAACAAATTGAAGACTGGGAACTGGTGGGCTACACTTAAACAGGCACCTCGGTTTATGAATTTTGCCATCCTGTGTATTTAGAATTGAGCTAAAGTACTTCGTAACACTCATCTTCAATAACAAAACTGCTCCATTCAGAAAAGCAAGCCCTCTGCACTAAGGCAAATTTATTCCCTGCCTTTTAAAGGCTTAATGCTTGTAGATTATGTGGTTTACTTCTAGATACCTGCATTTTATTACAGCTGTTTCCAACAAATGAGCATTAACATACTTTAACTTAAATAAGGCTGATTTCAATTAGGCTAGGGTTTAAAAATTGGCTCTACTTTCCCACTGCCTTAGGATGCTT